GTCTAGCTTCAATCGACTCATGAATTCAACTATTAAATTACAACAATCTCCGCAAAACCCCTCTCTGATGATAAAATGTTTATAAATGAAGGATAAAAGTGGGACAGTAATGATGTTTTTTCTTACAATAAATAAAACATGTGATTCAACATCTTTTTCAATCCACTTTTTTCTATGTATACAATTTCTAGATTGTATCCAACAGAATAAACAGGACAAAAATTATAAAAACGAGTTAACTTTAGAATTATAAAATAGAGGGGGGAGTACGGGAGGAGTGAAAGTTTACAACTGTTAATCTATTGAACAATATTTAACAGGTTATAAACATGTTAACTCTATGCTGATTATGTCCATTTACACATATACATAAATTTTTTTTAAAAAAAAACTAATTTTAAACAATTTCACTATGGTATATGTTTACTTAATTATTGAACAATAACGAGTGTAGTTACTTTTTTTCCAAATAGGAAGTTACAGTTGAGTTGACTTAGAAACAAAACTACAAATTTCACTTGGTATTGTTTTACTTGAATCTTACTATTGATGTTTAAGATTGCAATTGATCAGTCTGCTATTGCCTCGATACTACCTTAATTCACAAGTATTATAAACAAAGATGGATAGTGGCTAGCAGTGGAATCCACGATGCACGTTTTGTCCTTTTTTGGGACTCGTCAGCTGGATGTACCTACATCTCGAGTCCCAGAGTGAACATCAACTCTGAGATGCAGGTATATCCAGATGACGAAAACTATAAAAATTTTCATTGAATTACTTCATTAATGTAGAATGTTAGCTTGCATTGTAGCGCAAAATCGTCCATACATTTTATTTTAATCGATAACCGTTTAAAGGATCTTTCTATTGGTTAATCACCAGAATCTATGTCTTATACAGTTAAGTAGCTTATTTTCAACGAAAGAAAAAGTGGGAACGGAAATTCAGTTAACATATATCTTTTCTCACTTCCATAGAATTTCCCTTCCGTTTTACTAACATATCAGCCACCGTATCGCTGATTTTACTACTGAGTCGAATCTTACTGATGAGGAAATTGATATAAGCGGAAGCTGATGTTGTTTCACTGGGTGACTATTGGAAATCAAGTAGCACTCTCGAGCCTTTTTGTCATAGTTTCAGACTTCAAGTTAATTCCACCAAAAAGTTAAATTCAAGGTTGATATTCGAAACTTATCTTATCAGCTATGCATGATAAGATTTGTGATTCACAGAAATCCACATTTCCAAAATCCAAATTATATATAAATTGCTGAACTGATTGCGACAGGGTCATATGGGAGCCAAGCTAGGGAAGGTGAATACATAATACATTGATAGTAGCCCGCGTACACGTTCAGGTTTGATCTATCATATGGCCTTGTCACAGAGTATGATTCAACCATACTTACCAACCAGAGGAAACATTTAAAATAAAGATTTCTTTTGCAACAAAGATTGAGATACTTATGTAAAATCAAGAATTGAATTCTTAATCAACATTGTTTTTGAAAGACTAACGAAGTTGAATTTAATATTTTGTTAAAAACTGGATCATTTGAAGGAATAATCAAAACTAAATAGTATCAAACAATTTCTAGATAGGTGTCCAGAATCCTGTACTGTTACATTTTATTTGCGATTTACATTATTAGTATGGGGTTGTGGGGATTGTTAAGTTTTTTATTGGGATCATGAATCGATGAATGTTAGACCACCAAGGAAAACCTGAGAGTATCGGGTCTCCTTAGCTGCGTGCATCCGTGATCTCGCACGCAGGACTTAACCCAAGACCTCGGGTCTCGTGCGCAACACCTAACCTCTAAACCACTGAGCCAGCATCCAACGGTGTCTAACTTCGTCCAATCCACAAAGCTGAGAGACCATCTCCCATTGTCTGAGACTGCACTGCTGAGGAGTCCCATACTCGGATGAAATGACCTGTCAGTGCCTCCGCGTTTCTAAATGGTGGTCTAAAGTCTAGCCATCTAAATTGTTGAAATAATCGATATTCGTTATTTTCATTCTTGGTTTACTACTTATAACGTGATAAGTAACTGAATATTAAATGTACAAAATGGTAGGTTTCGTCACTTAAAGTATATGGACATAGAATGAGCTAGTTAGTCAAAGGTTTCTGTAGCTATATCAACACAGATTTATAGTTAAAGTCCCTGAATGAATTATCAATCCGACCACTTCAGTCATTGGTCATCAGTTATCATTCATACTAATTTCGCATCATGACAGCCTGACTGTAGCTACTTTCTTGACATAGGAGTCCAACGTTATTATTCCAACGACGCACTTGAGCTATACTGCCTGAAGTACATGTTACTTTTAAGTCCGTCATGTCAAGTATGTTAACTGAAGTGCTTTAAGTCTCAATGTAATGACATAAGGTCCAAGGGTGAAGTTGTACCTCTGACTGTAACGGGATGTGACATCAGTAAGATGTTACGTCAAACGATCAGTATCTTCAGCAACCCTTTCTTCTCCCAATAAAAGCACACCTCACCTTGATTCACAGAGTTCTGTCTCCTACGGTCAAAAAGGCTTTGGACGATCGGCCTAAAACAGTTATCTCTTAGGATCTGTGGTCACTTTATCTAGTCTACAAGGCCATTAATACAATTCTTAGGAGTATCCTTCTACGCTAAGAGTATCCAGGAAGTATCAACTATTCAAACACCTCTATCAACACTCGAAATCTTCAATAACAGAAGTTGTTACAAATTATAGTCAAAATGAGTCAAACAGACGGTTCCAAATATTTTTTTCTGGTTAGTGTTTGTTCAGCAAGTTAGTTTTCTACGGGATGTGGTCGTTAACCCCATGCCCAACCCTTTTCCTTTACTCGGGATTAGGACCAGCAGTAGACACAGAGGGGCTCCAGCCGGAGCCTGGGAGGATAGTCAGTACCACAAGGAATTGCTATGATGGACTAAACTGCAAAATCGTGCATGGAGGACAGTTGACAAACTCGTTCGAAGTAAATAACAGAGTCAAGCAAGGTTGCTTACTCTCACCCTTTCTCTTCCTCTTGGTAACCGACTGGATTATGAAGACGTCAACATCTGAGGGGAAGAATGGGACACAGTGGACAGCTAGAATTATGCTGGACGGTCTAGACATCGCGGATGATCTAGCTCTCCTATCGCACACGCAATAACAAATGCAGAAGACGACCAGTGTAGCAGCAGCAGTAGGTCTTAACATACACAAAGGAAAAAGCAGGATTCTCCGATACAACACAGCATACACCAATCCAATCACAATTGACGGAGAAGATTTGGAAGATGTAAATACCTTTACGTATCTGGGCAGCATCATTAATGAACAGGGTGGATCTGATGCAGATGTGAAGGCGTGGATCGGCAAAGCAAGATCAGTACATCTACAATCGGAGAACATCTGATGCTCTAAGCAACTGTCAACCAACACCAAGGTCAGAATTTTCTATACAAATGTTAAGACAGTTGTACTATATGGAGCAGAACTACGAAAGGGATCATCCAGAAGATACAAGTGTTTATTAACAGTTGTCTTCGGATTTTTTGTCCAGAGACTATCAGCGACAACCTGTTGTGTGAGAGAACAAACCAGATTCTAATGGAGGAAGGAATCAGGAAGAAGCACTGAAAGTGGATAGGACACACATCAAGGAAAGTACCCAACTATGTCACAAGACAAGCTTTCACTTGGAATCCTCAAATCCAAAGGAGAACAGGAAGACCAAAGAACACATTATGCCGAGAGATGGAGACAAATATGAGGAGAATGGACAGCAATTGGGTAGAACTAGGAAGGAAGTCCCTGGATAGATTGGATTGGAGAATGCTAGTCGGTGGCCTATACTCCATTATGAGCAAAAGGCGTAAGTACTTATGTAATTAAGTCAGATTATGTATGTTTTAACTCAAATAAACATTTACGAATAATGATAACTTTATGTCAGGAATTTATAGTTACAATTTAGAAATATATATATAAGCCAACAATATTGTTTTCGATTAGATCTTCATGAAGTTTTAATCTAATCTACAGTAATATTTATATGCGTATACGAAATTATTAGACCAATCAAGGTAGTTTATAAGTCAATGATAACAATGGAAAATATTACATAATAAGTGAAAAGTACAAATTGATAGTGTGATAACAGATGGATTAGTTTTGATAAGAATAATAAAGGCTCAAATCAATGTTACATAATCGGAAATAGGTCAGTGATTAGAAAAATATAGAAACTGAGATAACAATGATAAAATTATAAGATGACGTAATAAGAAATGTTCAGATAATTGGACCATGAAATGTATAGTTGAGAGAAAATAAAGTGGTAGGAGGGGGTGATGAAAAATAATAAACGAAGAGGAATACAATTGATCAGTCTGTTATTGGCACACTGTGCATATGCCTCGATATTGCCTTAATTCACAAGCAATGATGGATAGTGGCTAGCAGTGGAATCCATGATGCGCATTTCGTCTTATAAAAAACAATAGGAAAATACAAGCCAAACAATACCAAATGAAACGAAGAGAAACTTTGAAAAAAATAATAAGTAAATTCATTTATTAAGGCCCAAGGAAGAGATAAAGATGTTACAAACTTCTTTTGAACACAAAGACTTGGCTTGTTGGCTCGAATTCCTATAGCTTCTGCTATGTGTATTATTATTAGGAATATATATATATATATATATATAATATTGATTGGACATCCCTACGATCCAATTCTTTTAACCCTGTGAATTACATTAAAAAGAAGAAGAAGAAGAAGAGGAGGAGGAGGAGGAGGAGGAGGAGGAGGAGGAGGAGGAGGAGGAGGAAAAAGAAGAAGAAGAATCGTATAGAATGATCTATTCATAGTTGATTAAATGATCTTGTATAGAACTAATATAAATAACTGTGGTTTTATATTCTCTTTCTGTTTTTTTTTTATAAATTATGATTTAGATTGTTTTCTATTCATTCTATTATATTTAATTGTAGGTCAATTTTCTAATCATGAAACACGTAATTATATCATATTAGTAAGTTAAAAAAGAAAACTGATTTATATGAACTTTATTGAGAAAACTTTAATTGTTATGGATAATAAATTTTGTTGTATATTTATTCCTCATTTGTATTAGTTAAATTTAAATGTATGTCTAAAAGTTTACAATGGGTAGTAATGAAATCCAGGATGCGAGTTTCGTTCTATTTAGGACTTGTTACTTACTTACTTACTTATGCCTGTTACTCCCAATGGAGCATAGGCCGCCGACCAACATTCTCCAACCCACTCTGTCCTGGGCCTTCTTTTCTAGTTCCATCCAATTCTTATTCATTCTTCTCATGTCTATCTCCATTTCTCGGCGTAATGTGTTCTTTGGTCTTCCTCTTCATCCCGAATGGCCTTGAGGATTCCATATGAGGGCTTGTCTTGTGACGTAGTTGGGTGCTTTCCTCAATGTGTGTCCTATACACTTCCAGCGCTTCTTCCTGATTTCTTCCTCCACTGGAATCTGGTTTGTTCTTTCCCACAGTTGGTTGTTGCTAATAGTGTCTGGCCAACGGATCTTAAGTATTTTGCGTAGACAATTGTTAATAAACACCTGTATTGCCTGGAGTCCCTCCGAGGGCTACCGCGGGTCCCAAGCCCGGATAAAGGAGGAGGGTTGGACATGGGGTTAGCGACCCCATCCCGTAGAAAACTAACTCGCTAAAAAAACGCTAACCAGAAAAAATTTAGGACTTGTTAGTTAGATACATGTGAATGTCCGATTGAATATCCAACTATTGAAAGTAGGTGTATCCAGCTGATGAATAAAAAAAAGTGGGAAGATTCGACTGTTAGCCACTACTCATCTCTGATTAAATTTTTTTCGGCTTACTATCAATATCAAAGATGTTTGTTACTGAGGTGTTCTAAAAATTTGGATAAATAATATGTTCAGAGCTTTTTTGTTTTCGACGCTTCGGTCAAACTATCATTTATGGATGATCTTTGAACGATGTTAAAAACACCTTGAGTAGATTCACCAATGTACTAGGGTCAAAAGAGACTACAAATTAGCTCGAGAAATCAGGATTAGGACTTAGATATATATGTTATAAATAAAAATTGAATTTTAAGGGTTTTCATTACGAACTGATATCAACTATAATGCCGAGATGATATTTAGCCGTTTGAATGGATGAATTTCACATCGAACTCCAAGACTTTCTATTTTAAATCTTATTGGTTCGCCTATAAATTATAGTCCTGCCAATGCGGACTCTTTAACTCAATGTAAAATTTAATTTTCTAATTACTTTATTAGTGAAATTTTTTCATTAAGTTAATTTATGACTTTATGCTATTGTGTTTTTTCTTCAGGCGTTCATTATAATAGGTTTATTGATATGGCTTATTAGTGTTCTTATCATTGGTTTCGTGTGTTATCGCCGTCGACACGACCGTAAAGTATCTGTTCGTAAAAGGTCAGTAATATTTTTAGAGACTGATTTATTTAGTCAGGGAGATGGAACCATCTGCTTGCTACCATTTTATAAAGGTTTTACACAAACGCTTCATTTCTAAACTTCTGTGGTTAGTCCTAATACTTTACATAATTAACCATAATATATTTTGTGTGATACACTGACTTATATCTATTTTAATAGTTAAGATCATGAGTCAATGGAAGCTAGACCACTATAGAAAACCTAGAAGCAACTGAGAAGCAGTGACTAGTGGAGTTCAACCAGGTCTGTTGTGAGATATCAACTCAATGAAGACAATAGTGTACGGTGGTTCAATTTCGTGGATTGGTTGAAGTTAGACATTAACACCGTTAGAAGCCGACTCAGTGGTCGGATGGTTAAGCGCTGGTAGGTCCTGGGTTTGAACCTCGTGCGGCGGGATCATGGGTGCGCACTGCTGAGGAGTCCCATATTGGGACGAAACGGCTGTCCAGTGTTTCCAGGTTTTCCATAGTTGTCTAGTTTCAATTGGCTCATGATCTCAACTATTAAAATTACTATAATTTCCACAAAACCCCTTCTGATATTATATCTGTTTATCATGCTTTTGACTATCGCCAAGCTTTTATCTTCAGTCTGTTCTTCAGTCCAAATATTCTGACATCAAACGAGTTATGGAATATCACGGAAAATAACATTTCTAATAATCAGTATTTAGTTCGAAGTCTTTAAACTCTTATTTTCCAATGTAAATGTCTTGATAACAGGCTAGATAACCTCATCACTTTAAAAGTATCAAATATTTTTAAGCATCCAAAATTATTGGCTGATCCCGGACTCAAGTGTAGTTGCAAAAAAACGCAAGATAAGAATAGGATCTGGAATTTTCTCCAACCAACAGAAACTTGACTGAGCAATCAGGTATCAACAGATAGATGACAACAACAACAACACAGACAACCTTTTTTTAGGACACTTTAATAAACATTTTATTTACTAGTACTTGACAACTGGGCATAAATTCATTTTCTGTTTTAACTTTCATTTAAAGCCATTGAATAATATTTTACAAAACAGCCAGGAATAACCAACCTCTATTTCAGCCATTACAGATCAATACAATAAAAGTTTGTCCTTTTGACCTAGTACACATCACTAATAGATAGCCAGGAAAATTCAAACAGAATATTAATCATACTAAGATATAATTTTCTTAGGACTTCATGATTACAAAGATAAACCCACTTAAATGGTGTATTTTGACCAGTGAGAAGTGTCGTTGAAGACATTATAAGTGCTGGTTCGTTGAGAAAATGTTCATTTATTTTGAAAACAGAAATCAATTGTTTCGCTAAAAAAAATTTCAACACCGTTCTCTTCAAGACTATTTTATTATTACTATTTAGGCTACTTGTGAGTAGTATGTAAGATTTTCAAAACTTCATGACAAAACCCATCAACTTTGTTTCAATTGAAGGAATAGAGTTGTTAGTTCTCATGATTGAAACAAGAAAAATAAAGTTATTGATAACTCTTGCTAATTGAACGCTATATTCGGTTCCTAATCTGTTCTCATAACCCTCAAGCCAGAACTACACACAGACCTTAACACAAGGGAAAAGGCGCAAAATATGAGAGAAGCACTGTACTCTAAAGTTTCGTTTCAGTACAGAAAATATAGGGTTTTTATGGTATTTTAGATGTCCTTGGGTTTCCCGAGAATTCTGGAATGCTACTAAACATAGTAGCAGTATAGTAATCAGCCAATCAGAAACTCTACATGTGACTTTTCACTTTTTTGATGTTTCTGGCTAAACGTCTAGTGGATGTTGATTGGATAAAATGCTTCTTAGTGTTTCCTGAGCCTTTCTTGGATTTTGCGAAAAGTTTTCTGGATCACTCCGACAGTTATTAACCACAAAAACCTTTCATCGGTGATGGAACGGATTGAATAATATCTTTTGTGTCATTAAGGTTTTTCATTTGATAAAAAAAATCAAGTATCTTTTAATTACCGCTTGTGTCTTAGACAAAATGTCTGTTTAAGAAACGATGAATATATCACTCACCAGTTAATTCTGTATGGCTATGTAACCGTGAAACATGATCTATGGAAGTGGAAAACGTATGTGGACTGTAGGTTTATGATCTTAACTGTCTCCAAAGCATTCCTTGTATAATAATAGATCAACTATCTAATCCTTAGGTTAAATATAATGCAATACGCTAAGAGGGGTAGATTTGTAGTGAACAAATAAGTCAATTGGGGATAACCAATTTATTATTTAATGAACAATCACACAGTGGTTTAATAAAATGTGAAAATAATACATCGCATGCATCATTCGCATATCTTCTTTGAGTTGTCTCTTACAAACTTCATTGTTTCTTCATTCATGTTGTTATCCTGATTGCTTTCAGTTTCCCTTTCTCTTCTCTTCATTCTCATTTTCTAAACCTTATGTTCGCAGACATTCCACTTCCAACCGATGTTAAATACGACTTTTATCTGCAAAAATAAGTAGTATACACCACAGATTCATTTAGGTGGTTGGGATATATGCTACGGTTGCTTGACGTTTAATATTGGTTGACATATAAAGAAAACGTCTGGAGGTGGATAGGTCAAGGTATGATAGTATTCTATGAAGTCATTGACTCTTGGTGTGAGTCATGCCCCTATGTGTAGACTACCTGGTAATACTTGTAATCAAGAGTTGTGTTGTTAATTGTGTACTGTATTTTACATATCAAGATTTACATTATAGCTCATATTAATTTTTCTCCGTTACACCTTGTCTTTTTGATTTGCTTTTTGTTTAGTAACATAATGATAAACAACTTGGATTGATGTACAGTAGTCCCAGATCAGACCTTGACTTGACTAACTGACTTAAAAATCTATCTCAAGACTATATTTCTGTTCTGTATTTATTGCGTACAACACTAAGTATAGTTAACTTTTTGCGATCATATAATGTATCGACTTCAAAGATATATACTCATACTTTGAGGACTTTTGGAACTGTACAAAAAATTATAACAAAACGAAATCCGAATCTTTAGCTTAATGAGATGACAATGATACTAAGTTTACATAGAGTGTACTATGATAACACAAGTGGATCAAAATGATCACTGTTTTAGACTAATACAACAAGTCATGTTTAAACAGTTTATCTAATACCTTTCAGAGACAGATAAGGTTAGTGAACTGACCAACAGAAACAATGCAAAGGGTGTTTGATTTACATAGTGGATCACCCAAAATGACGTATACTTTTAGCTAATGAACTCCGGAAAACTAATGACTTTGTCATCAAATACCGAGAATTTATTCAAGTGGGGAGACAGAACATCTTAGTAAAATCTGAGAACTATATAGCAAATACTTCATCTGCAAAATGTTAATCAGTTGCCTCGAACTTGACTGTTCCTTTTGCAAATGTCAGTCAATCGTCTCAGACTTCACTGTTTCTTCATTTCCATACCAAACATTCACTGTTCTCGTTCTCATTTCTTCGATCTTCTTAACCTACAACTGCTATGTATTCCACTTTCAATTGATTACACATACTACTTATATCTATTGACATCAGTAGCACACACCATAAATAGTTTGTTTTAGAGTATTATTCATTGCTAGAATTATTTCACTTTAACAGCTTATCTTGTCAAAAATTCAGATATAATATATTTTAAATGTTAATTTAGAAGAAGATAAATTTTTTTGTATCCACGTGTTGAAAACTTAGAAACCGATTGTTTAAAGTTTTAGCAAAATCACTGTTCAAAGAGAGAGACATACTCAACTTACTAACTTTTCAGTATGTGGATTCTTTATCATTATTTATTTCTACCCTGAACCTCATTGAATGCAGACTGCTTGTAATTATGTTGAATAGATTATTGTTTGGTGTATTATTCAAGTTCTCTGCATTTCGATGTGTATCGTATATCTGGTAAAATATGATTTCAATCTATGCGGAGTGTATCGACCAAGTATCTAGTCTAATGGTAATATAATCTCTTACCCTGTCGTATTATGGTATGGTAGTAAAATATTATGACAAACGAGAACATTTTTAACCTAATTCTATCCCATTTATATATACATATCAGTCACCATTGTGTTTTAAGTTATTAATATAGATCTGATAATCTCTATGTAGTTTATAATTTTGTCTTTAAACTTATATATTCAGTACCCACTTTCAGGACTTTCTACTGATTAGCCCTAAAAACTAAACATTCCTAAACTTACTTAATACTGACATACAATTTGAAGTAAACTAACACAATAAGCTTCCAAGTTTTCCGATGGTGATCTAACATCAATCGGTTCATGTTCTCAATCAATAATAACATAATATTTAAATAAACAAATTACTTACTTACTCACTTACTTACGCCTGTAACTCCCAATGGAGCATAGGCCGCCGACCAGCATTCTCCAACCCAATCTATCCTAAACCTTCCTTTCTAGTTCTATACAATTTTCGTCCATCCTTCCCATATCTGTCTCCATTTCTCGGCATGATGTGTTCTTTGGTCTTCCTCCTTTCCTTTGACCTTGAGGATTCCAAGTGAAAGCTTGTGTTAGCGGGACATAGATTGGATTAAAGCATGCTCAATGCACGATTACTTTGGCGCACGCTGGTTGGCTAATTCTTATCCAAACAGCGTTAGTCAATACTTAGTGAACACTCTAGAAATCTCATGTGGAAAACTATAAATATACTAACGTTTTCCCTATTGCACTTACTTGCTTCTTACTTCCATCTAACCTTGTTATTTGGAATATAATCTCTTTCCTGTTCAACCGTGTTCTGATTTGGGGACTTATTGAGTGAATCGATGTCCGAGAATACTAAGCAATAGGAATAGCTGGGTTATAACCGTTGTTGGATAATTTCCTCAATGTGTGTCCTATCCACTTTCAGCGTTTCTTCCTGATTTCTTCCTCCACTGGGATGAAATGCTAGAAATCGATAAGACATACATTGAGGAAAGTATCCAACCGTGTCGTTAAGTCATGAATTAAATTCAAACAAATCACTCCTTTTTTTTGTTTATTTACAGTGCTTTATGGACAAATATTAATTATGAACCAAATTTATATCCAACAAATTTACCATCACCAACAGAACCCTTTATAAAGCAACAAAATGATCATGAAAATTTACAAAATAATATAAAATTAATTACAAATAATAATCAAATCAATTATCCTTCATTAAAAAAAATATCACCAAAAAGTGTTTTAAGAAATTCATCAACTTTACCAAAACTTCCAATCAATGAACATCATCAACGTAGATCAGTACATTATACACGTAAATCAAATGAATTATCTAAATTACATTTTAGTACTATATCACATATACCAATATCTAGTCCATCATATTCAATAGATACACAACAAACAAATTTATCACCAACTGATAGTTGTCAACCAATATGTGATACAACATATGAAGAATTAACATGTTGTATAAATGATCATTTACATTGGAAACATAATAATTTATTAATAGCGCCTAAATTAACAACTTTTCAATGACAAATATTTCATTCATTCAATGCTTATATATATATATTCAATTTATCATCATTCTTACCTTTATTCAAAATCTATGTCAGATATAAGAAATAAGTAGAAGAAAAATATATATGTATGTATTTATATTGTATAGTGACTTTACTTCGTTAATTGATCACCCTCAATAACCGTTATAATATAAATCGCAATGGTGATTAAAATCAGAAGGTAGTGAGAAGCGGCAATTACAGTTTATTAGAAGATAGTGCATATCACAAAGTTATAAGCACATCAAATGAATTTGAAACGGAGAGGCGAATGTGTGTATTTGTGTGTAATAACGTAGGCAAATGTTGATAGGTCCTGGGTTAGAATCTCGTAGGGTGCAGGATTGTGGATGCACACTGCTGAGGAGTCCCATACTAGGACGAAACAACCGTCCAATGCTTCCAGGTTTCCCATGGTGGTTTAGCTTCAAATGACTCATTATTTCAATCTGTGAAATTACTGATCTATTTGTTTTGGAGCATTATTTATAGCTTTCATAGTTCGATGAAATCAGATTGGACGGTTGAGTTATGCTGAAGATAAGTTACTATTGAGAAGAAAGCAACAGATTTATTCTATTTTTTCATAACCTTCAGTAATATAATGTTGTCTTCAGTAGTTTGATATTGCAAGTATATTAGGCAATTATTCAACCTTTGAAGGAGAAACATGTCTGAATATTCAATTTGGAATGTAATTCTTCTGTATAGTTGTCTATTTCTTCTCGAAAATTCAAAACCATCCTTTTTTCATTCTCAATGTGAATGTGTTCTTCTAGGCGAAAGTTTATAACTTTTTCCTCAAGTTTATACTTCTAAAGTCATGAAATATTTCAACTAACTTCCATACTACCTATTTCAGTCAGGAATTTCGTGGATTAGACTAGTTGAACAAAGACAGGAACCCTCAATAAAATCTTATACTTGAAGTGTTTCATTCCAATTACAACTTGTAAGTAGGTCTTTACCTAGTCAACAATTTAGTAAGGTCAAACAATGTGTAAATTGTTGTCAAATCGATCCTATATCTCATTATTTTCCCACATTATACTTCATTAAGATTGTAGCTCATTACAACAGGGTTAATCTAATTGCACCCTATCAACCTTAATTCTGACCGTTGACGTGAAATCGGCCCGTATCAATAGCGCAGTTACCATGGGATAAACTTACCCACTTGCTATTCAAAAGTATCAAACTTCAACTACCCATTTGCTATGTTCATTAGTATATATATATATATATATATACACTGAGGTCACTGAGTGTATATCCTAGTCTCCCAAACAATATAAAATACATTTAACTTTCTCCTAACGCCAAAACGACAGATGAAAATATCTGAACATGTACCTAAATGGTTATGAAATTTAATTTAACATTGCTTTTTTGGTGTTATACAAAAGTGTTAAAGGGCTTATACTAAGATTTACTGAAGCTTTGGCCATACGAAAATCGAAACCCCTTTTATGTATTCAAAAACAATTTGTTCTCACCTTAAACCTACCGTGGTAATATGTTTATTATCCACCGTGTTGAGTTTGACATTATTTACCTTATTATCTTTGCTTCCTTTTACCTCACATTTGTCTAATTGACCTTTTATTTTTATGTATAAATGTTCATAAAAAGTATGTATGATCCGGTTGATCGAAATGTATTCTGCTAATATATATGTCTTCGTCTTGTTTTCACACTAACCAAGTTTATCAAAGGGACTAATTGCTCTACAATCAGTTTACACTTACTAGTTGTAAATCTATTGAGTATCAAACTGCAAATAAACAACAAACAAAGAAATTTATACCAAGTTCCAATTGGAATGGAAAGTGATTATAAATTAATGAAAATAACTTGTAGATTTAGTTCTTTGTACGTAAAAGATGCCACACCTAAAACAAATTGCGTGTAGTTATTGTACTGTCTCTTTTTAAACTATACACCCATTTGTTTTTTTTTGTTTGTACAAAGCCATAACTATTAAATGATTTATTCCAATTCAATCAAGCATTTCGTGACCTTTTATCCAACTTTATTTTCATGAGTTATTTCTAACCCTTTAAATTATATTGTCCACTTTCTATAAAGATGTACGTGTATGTTTTGCCTGAATGTATCTATCTTCTTGTGATGAATACATTGTCTGTTTTTCTTCCATAAAGTGATTCATACCTAGGTTGAACAGACTGGTAAACACCTCTCCTATCCGAATTTATTCCATTTTCGTTCATGATTTGTCTACTATGATGTACGCATGAAATATTTGCTGCAAATACAAAAAGAATTGATTGTTGCATATGCTGCACGAATAACATAGGAAATGACATCGTATCTAAACCATCTTATTATTTAAGTTCCTCATTTCAGATTTACCTGTTACTTCATGAGAGTATATCATATAAAATGCTGTTCTGCTTTAATCGCATTATTCACATGAGATTTGAGCATACTTTCTTTAAAGTGGAAGATAAGCTGGCATTTTTGTCGTTTTCTTTTATAAAGAATGAATGTACCAACTGTATATCGACAGTAAAACATGAATTTACTATCAAAATATTTAAGTGAGCGTGTCTTCAAATCTAGCTAGACTAATATCATCTTATATTAAACTCATTGTAATTTCATTCTTCTCTCTGCAGATTTTATATATTAAAGGTAGGCTTTAGTAATATTACTGAGTAAAGACTACTAAGATAGAAATGTAGTGGACTACTACTACTCAAAAGATTATTCGTATGTAGTATATAGCGAAACGTGGCATAAAAGTTGCAACAATTGTCGGACGTGGTGAAGAATTTCGGTAGACCGAAAGCACGGCGTTCGCAAAACACTTGGAAATCAGATGAGAATGCAGTTCAAATGGCAGAACACACCGAAAGATACAAATGGGTGATTGAAGGCTACATTTATATGCATTATATAAATACTTTGTAACTCGATACTAATATAGTCTTTTCCTACATATCGCCTTCACATATCTGGTGTCACTACCAGGATCAAGATGAAAGTGCTGTGACTGGATCCATTTTGGAGACTGGGACACCGAGAACTATTCCAGGTAGTTCGGATCGATAGCGAGGCTTGTCGGTTTGAGGTAACCCTGAGCTAAGGCGACGGTATTGGGGACATTACTATGTGGCAGGGTGGTTACATTCGGTGGGATTGCTCTTGTGGACGAGAAGGGATATCGGGTTGACCTCGTTCCTCGAATGCTGATGGCCCAGCTAGAGGCGTCACAGAAGTTTAAAGCCGTACATCTCACACCGGGATCAACACCAAATAACTTGCTAGTAACCACTTATTCTCCGCTAACCCAGTCAAATGCATGTATTATTGACTACCTCTATGAGTGAAGCAATAGGGATTGACGATGCCATATCCAAGGACAATATAACTCGCAACCTCGTATTTTCATTTTTAATGCTCTTGAAAAATGAGAAATTATTCCCTGCAAGCCAATTGACTGATGACACACTTCCTGGTTTGAACCATGAACAGTTACTTCTGTCTGGTTATTTTTTTGGTTCAGATAGATTGTAGTATTTCATGGATCGTAGATTTTTACTGCTAGATGATAGATAAATCAAGATTGTTTCAAACTTTGAGCTGTACAAAATAACACAGGATAATTTTACCTTAAAGTCAGGTCCAGTGAAGAGATGACTCAGAAAATCCTGTTTACAAATTATAAAACATCTTGTACATTATACTTCAACTAGCTAAATATTAATTCATCTGCCAGGCAGAGTCCAGAAAATATTCCACTCAGTAAAATCATAACGACTTTTTCCTGAGAATCCCCTGGAGAAACCAATAGTAAAAGACTATTTATTAAGAATGATTATCAATCTAAATATTATGAATTAAGTTACATAGGACTATTTTCTGAGAATTCACATTTTCATCTATGTGAATATGTCACAGATCGATTGGACAAAGTTGGTAGCTAACACCACACAAAAATACTCAGTTATGAAGTAGTCCGATATATCTAATATACAGAGCTGTTCGCCTTTGAGCTTTTCGACTTTTCATAACCTCTCTATGTCCACTAAAAGGCAACCTCGCAGTAAATGGTGGTTATCGATAGAGAACATCTAATCGCCAGTGCGAGGCACTGTAATAAGGAGTACAAATCTACTTCTGAACCTCAAATTTGTCCGTTTTGGTCTCACCATTGTGTATCTGGATTAACTATCATGATATAACTTCATGGAATAGGCTCTCTAACCAATGTAGTATGACCGCGTCTTTATAATAGACAAGTCCAACCACTGAGCCATAGTAACAACTGCAAAACGATAAAGTGAACTGAGTTTTAGAATGAAGTGGAACAAAACACAAAGATTTATTTACAAGTAGTGAATTTAAACAGAACACTAGAGAGAACAAAAACAAGATAAAATTAAGTTTCGGCCAGCGTTTAACAAAATCGCATTCATTATACTGAGAAATATAGCTAGATACTAATACCAATAAAAATATATAAATTGAAGCTGTTATGTTCTTGTTACACTCGACTACTCGGAAGTTAGACAGAACAGTTTTTTTTAAAAAAAAAGGCATATAACGTAGAATATAATAAATAAATTGCTACACTTAATTTACAAAAACTGTTTCGTAAGGAAGTTCAAAATCGGAAAAGATAACTAATTTTCTTTTTTATAAAATTAGAATATCCCACAATCCTTGAGATTGTTTTTAATTATGACATCAGTTACAGCATCAAATACAAACTGTATATTATTTGTGTCCGTTGCACATGTGAAATGGGAATAGATATCTTTAGGTCCACTACGAGTATTTGAATTTTCAAAACATGATCGAATATACTCCGAAGCTTCTTCATAGTTATTTCCACCTAATCAAAAGTTTAGGAAGTAAATGAAAATCATAAAAGTAAACTAATCAGAAAAAGGTGTAAAACATCCTTTAATATGGGAATAAAGTAATTCACCTATGATTAAACTTAAAAGCATTTTTTTGAGATGATAAATTTGTGTGATCATAAGATAGTCGATGAAAAAGTTTTTACATAATTCTTTATAAAATGATTGTTTAACTGGATAGAAATTAATTGCACTCTTCATCAAAAATCAACGAAACAGTAGCTATTCATATACGACCCATAC